ACTATTGAAACTTCCACGAAAGTCGACCCAAAAAAGACAAAGCTATGAGCTGTCCATCCATTTCTTGTAACAATTTCTGTATATGTTGCCCAAGATTTCCTTTTGAGTTAAATACAGTGTAGTTTTATTAAGAGTAAACGACATGTTCTCAACCAAAGATTTGCGAAATTATTTGTTTCCACCCGTGGTTTTATTTATTTCAGTTCTCACCCTTAAATTGACATGGTTATAATTTTTAGGTTATCTAGAGTATTATTAACTTTGACAAATAAATTAATAAATTACTTTTCGATCTCCAAATTAGTAAAATTAGAAAATTAACCATCTTACTTCTAAATTTATTTCAATAACACTTTTTTAACTTTCCTCTTCTCTGCTGCGGAGGCAGCCAGATCACACTCAAACAACACCCCAAGCCCTTCAAAACAACCAATCACTCCAAAAGACTACCAAGTCAACCAAATCAACTCCAAAACTATTCCAATTGATACCCATACTCAAAGAAACGGCAAGAAACCCTAGGATTGGTCAATGGTGAACGATAAGCAACATCGGTCTGAAATGTTGAGGCTAGAGAGGTCGATGAGTTTTTGGTAGTGGTAGGTTGCATTTTAGAGGATGAGGGTGGCTGAAATTTGTCTTGGAAGTGGCGGTTGTGTGAAGAACAAAAAAGTGCAAATTCCAACGAAATGGGGAGTGATGACGAGAAAAAGAGATATGTGTTTTGAAGAGAAATTGGTGAGGGTTCAATAGGTGGTCTCGGAAATTATATTAGATGTCGGAATCGGCCAAAAAATGGCTGAAAACGAAGGTGACGACCTTACTAACGTGCATTGCCTTCTGCTAATGTGTACCTCAAGTAGTAGAGAGTTATTTTAAAATTTTCATTTTTATTTCAAATTTATTGCAGTGAAAATGAATGTTTTACCTTTTTACCATTACATTAAAAAGATTTTCTGTTAATTTAATAATAGGAATATGAATAAATAAAACTCTAGGGTGAAAACTTATAGGCTTCGTTTGTTACATTATTAGTATTTCCAAAAAAGTTAAACAGTAAAATGTCATTATTCTCAAAATATTATTCTATATTTTTTAATTTTTTTTAAACCTCTTAAATTTGTTAATTTAACTAAACACCTCTAAATAATATTTTTAGAAATTGTAAAAACACTCCGACTACTCTCCGACAGTGGTGGCCGACTGTCCGTATTTAATGAGTAGATGAGAGCAGTAGCGGATCCAGAAATTTCTTTTAGAGTGGGCCAAAATAAAAATTTATTATACATTACTATTTTTGTCCATTAATATTTTTTTTAGGGTGAGCCAAAATATATAAATTTACATATTAATATTAAAAAAAAAATTTGAGGGTGGGCCATGACCTACCCAAAAAGTGGTTGGATCCATCACTAGATTAGAGATATTTTTATTAACTTTTAATATTTTATTATATAAGTGTTTAATAAATAAATAAATAAATATTGATGATATTTTTATTAATTTCTAAACTTTATATCATAATATCCATTTAATTTAATTTGTTTCAAAAGATTATTTTAAAAACTATTTTAATAAATTAAACGGAGCCATAATTTCGCTAAATCTTTGGGCTGGCAACATGTCGCTTACACTTTTATTAATGCTTATAGTCCGTCCATTTTTGGGATTATAATGATTATGCGTCTCGTTTATCACGTGTTCCAATCAATTTGATGTCAGTCATGGCGTCACATAAAAAGAAATTCTCTAGTAAAAGCTAAAGCAAGCATGGCCCATGAATTATTTTTCCCTTCTTTTATAAATTGACGTGATACTGGTCCATACATATTGAGGGTAAAGTTTAGTGCACACGACTTATTCCACTTAAGGTTTGCCTCAATGACACATGTTTTTATCTAAAAAGTTTTAAAATATCTTTTTTTTTTATTTATAATTTATATTTCGTTATTATCTAAAATAGGTTCTCTAATTCGATGGCAAACAAAGAGAAAATATTATCTAAACTATTAAGATTTTTAAAGAGAGTATACTGATTGAGTCTTTTGGTGATAATAGACTAGATTTTGGTAGTCGAGATTTGTTAAAATTTAACTTGAGAAAGATGGTTATGTATTTTACAAATTGCTCGATTGATGGGGTAGGCGGGAGTAAGGTTTAAAGGATTTTGATAAGTGATAATCGAAAAAAGGAATGGCGATGGTTTGGGGTCGCAAAGATGTCGGATTCATCTAGCGACCGGTCGAAATATAAACTTTGGATGGAAAAATGGTATTTTGAAACTTTTTGAGTGGAAAAGTGTTATTAAAGCAAACGTGGGAAAAAGTAGTTTACTCTAAGGGTGTGCTTGAGAGTTTTTTTTCTATTGGTTTTTAGGGGTTTTTAATTAGACTAATTTTGAGGTGTTCTAAAACCATTACTTGCCAGATTTTTTATGCACTGGTTTTGACTGGTTAAAAAACCTCCCAAAACCAGTATAATATATTTTTGAGGGGTTTATAAAACACCCCAAATCGGGGTGTTTTGATTGGTTTTAAAATTTTATTCTAAAAATACCATATTCACTACAAAACTATCTCATTATATTAAAATAAATAAATAAAAATAAACCATATTATATGTGTCTCCAATCATATTAAATATAAAATAATTTTAACCAATCAATAATTTTTTTTTAAATCTAATTTCTAGATGCTTTCTTGGAGAAGCAGAGCTACAATTTTTTAATTATTCCAGATATTGCAAAGAATGACGAAGAAAGATAATGAGACTTTATCACATTTGAAGTTATAAAATACTAATAAATAAAAAACAAATAAAAAATCCTTATCTTGTAATTGAAAAAACAAAACTCTCAAATACTGATTGAAGTTGGATATTTTTATGGACATATATGTAAATTTATCATTTTAAAAAACTATCAAAACCGTTGAAAAATAAACTCACTAGCACAGATTAAGTGTTTTAAAAACCACTAATAAAAACCCTTTAAAACCACTATAGTAATTTACTCTCATAATCGTAATTTACCCTAATAGCCTCTGTCATGAAACTCCTTGAGGACCCTAAAGTTTATTATAAACATTAATATATGAATAAGAAAAAAAAAAAATTGTTTTTCTTTTTCCTTTTTAAAAAGGAGAGACTTTTAAGAGCAGAACGTTAGGTGATGATGATGGAAACTGCAAATTTGTAGGCATCTTTATCCATTCACATTATCCCAATAGCTAAAATCAAACCCCAGAGATCTTTCACTATCTTAATCTCATCTCCTTCCATCAACAAATTCTCTTCTTCAATGGCATCATCAACTGACTCCGACATTTCTATAGAGTTTCCCTTCTTCCGAGTTTACAAGGACGGCCGCGTCGAGTTATTCCGTCCACACTGGGACAAGATCCCACCCTCTGATGACCCCATCACCGGAGTTCGTTCCAAAGACGTTACCATCTCCTCTGAACCTCCCGTATCCGCCCGTATTTTTATCCCAAAACTCACAAGCCCTACCCAGAAGTTCCCTCTCTTACTCTACGTCCATGGCGGTGGCTTCTCCATGCTTTCTGCCTTTTCTCCACATTACCATCACTTCTGTAGCACCGTTTCAGCTCAAGCCGGCGTCATAGTCGTCTCCGTCGAGTACGGACTCTTCCCGGCCCGACCCATTCCCGCTTGCTACGAAGACTCGTGGGCTGCTCTCCAGTGGGTGGCGTCCCATGTTAATGGAAATGGACCTGACCCTTGGTTGAACGATCACGCTAATTTCAGCAAAGTTTTTATCGGTGGAGATAGCGCTGGAGGGAATATCTCGCATACTTTGGCGTTCCGGGTCGGGTCAATCGGGTTACCGGGTGTGAAAGTAGATGGTGTGATTTTGTTTCATCCGTATTTCGGTGGGACGGAAGACGATCAGATGTGGCTGTTTATGAATCCAACCAACGGTGGGTTAAAGGATCCTCGGCTGAAACCGCCGGCAGAGGATCTGGGTAAGCTTGGGTGTGAGAGAGTGTTGATATTTGTGGCTGAGAAAGATCATCTGTATACTCCGGGAAAAGATTATTATGAAGAATTGAAGAAAAGTGGATGGGGAGGGAAAGTTGAGGTGGTTGAAAATCATGGGGAAGAACACTGCTTCCATCTTCACGATCCCAAATATGAAAAAGCTGTGGAGTTAACCAATAAGTTTGTTTCATTTATCAAACAAGATTAGATTCATTAGTGTTTCAGTCAAGATCTTGTTATTGTAATAAATTTAGGGTGTGTCTGAAATTGATGAAATAAAAGGGACTTTTTGTGCACCTGGATGACTAAGGCCTGAGCTTAATATATCATTTCCATGTTTTTTTTTTTTGTTTGTTACGAACGGGAGTGTTTGGATCAGCTTACACGTACCTTAACTAATCTTTTGAGACCTTAAAATTATTGACTTGATAAAAACCCTAGAGTACACTAATCCTCTAAGACCTGAAACTACTGGAGCTGTGGAGTTAACCAATAAGTTTGTTTCATTTATCAAACAAGATTAAGATTAATTATTGTTTCAGTCAAGATCTTGTTATTGTAATAAATTTAGGGTGTGCTTGAAATTGATGAAATAGAAGGGACTTTTTGGTGATCCTAGACTACTGAGGTTTGAGCTTAATATATCATTTCCATGGCTTGTTTGTTTGTTTGTTTTTTTTTTTTTGTATGAATCGGAGTGTCCAGATCAGCTTACGCACATTTTAGCTAATCTTTCGAGACCCTAAAACTATTAGTCGGATAAGAGTTCTAGGTGACACTAATCCCTCAGGACCTTGGAACCATTGGTTAGGAAGAGCTTCAGTGGTTATCCTTATTAGTAATCGGGGAGGTACTCGAGCTTAGAACCTATTGAGTAATATACTCAAGAGTCTATCAAATCGCTTGACCACCCAGAGGTAGTTAATTTCCATGATTGTTTCTTCAAAGGGACTGTTATTCATGAACATTATATGATTGAGTTATTAAAAAAAAAAAAAAAAAACAAAATTGCAAATCTCATGTCAAGTTCAAAGTGTCCATATGATATGCGCTAAAGTGATTCATATTACTAATCTTTATATAAATGTGCATGATGCGGGAAAATTAATAATATTTTTAACATTATATTCAATATGTTGCAATTTTTAAAATTTGTAGCATTAAGATATTGGAGAAAATTAACATCCCCTATTATTTTTAGTCAAATATAATTTGAATGAAAATATAATTATCTCAATAAAATTTTAGAATTAATCATTATAAATTATGAACTGGATCAAATGAAAAAAGTTAATTATTTGAACAAAGTGGTGTTTGGAACTGTTTTAATTATTTTACCTCAAATCACAATCATGGTTTAAAACTCATTAAAAGAATAAAATAAAAATAGATAAAAGCAGGCAACTTATTAAAACCAAAGAATTTTTATTTCATTTTTTTCCCTCTATCAACCAAATCAATTACATGAAATGTCTGGCCTTCAAAAAGGAATTTAATTTACAATCCTACTAACTCTATACAAAGCTTATCATATAGTATATATATATATATATATATAATATATTATATATAAAGCTGCATACCTATATGGGTTGATCGACACGTGACAAATTTTGAAAGCTATAGAATTACTCTATTTTGACACATTGGATTGACAAGCTAATCAAATTGCTTTATTTTGACACGTTGGGTTGGTATTTATTGTTATCCTTAAAGGGAAACAAATAATATTGATGTTTAGTTTTAATTGTAATTGTTTTATCTCTTTTTATTGATATCTTTTTATGTTACATACATATATCATGAAAAGAGGTAATTTCAATATTTAACACATGTATTTCGGTTTTCACTGAACAATCAGTAGTAAATCGACCATAACTTGCTCAATAAAAATCCAATTGATGAGAGGATTGAATCTTGAGAAACTAGACAGTCAGTGCTTTAATTTGATATATTATATGCTTAATTTGGATAACTTTAGCCCCACTGCCGAACCATTATTTTCAACATCACATACATTTTGACTTCCACTGAAAAGGCAATAGTAAATTGTCCATAACATGCTCAATAAAAATCCAATTGATGAGAGGTTTAAATATTCAGAAACTATATAGATAGGACTTTAATTTGATATATTATAGGATTAATTTTGATACTGTAGCACCACTTCCGAACCATTCCTTTTATCATCAAATACATTTTGGTTTCTACTGAACAGTTAGTAGTAAATTGACTGTATCTTGCTCAATAAAGTCCAATTGATGAGAGCTTTGAATCTTTAGAAACTAGACAAATATGGCTTTAATTTGGATAACTGTAGCCCCACTTCCAAACCATTCATTTTCTTATAACACACATTTCAGTTTCCATTGAACAGTTAGTAGTAAATTGACCATAACTTGCTCAATAAAACTCCAATTGATGAGAGGTTTGAATATTTGGAAACTAGACTTATAGCGATTTAATTTGGTATATTATACACTTTATTTGGATAATTGTAGCCCCACTTCTGAACCATTCTTTTTATCATCACACACATTTCGGTTTTCACTGAACAGTCAGTAGTAAATTGACCATAACTTGCTCAATAAAACTCAATTGATGAGAGGTTTGAATATTTAGAAACTAGACAGATAGGTTTTTAATTTTATATATTATATGCTTAATTTGGATAAATGTAGCCCCACTTCCGAACCATTACTTTTACCATCACATACATTTCGGTTTCCTTTGTTTCTCGATTTCCATTGAACAATGAGTCGTAAATTGGCCACAACTTAATAAAAATCTAATTGATGAGCGATTTGAATCTTTGTAAACTAGAAAGATAGAGCTTTAATTTGATATATTATAAGATGAATTTGGATAACTATGATCTGCGGCCGAACCATTTATTTTATCATCATAGACATAAAACAATTTAATTTTAGTGATGACAAAGGAAAACAAATATTGATATGCAGTTTTAATTGTATTTGTTTTATCTCTTTTTGTTGATATTTTTTTATGTTACATACATATATCAAAAACAAATTGTAGCTGGATATAACAAATTTTATTTGTATCACAAATATCATCTGATGTTTGTTGCTGAACCATGTAGCTTTAGTAAACCATTTATAATATGCCAAACCATTATTATTATCCTTAAAGGAAAACAAATATTGATATATAGTTTTAATTGTAATTATTCTATCTCTTTTTGTTGATATCTTCTTATGTTACATACATATATCATGAAAAGAGGTTGTTGCTAAATATAACTAATTTCATTTATTTAACAAATATCAACTGATGTTTGAGGCTAAACCATGTAGTCTAGTAAACAATTCATTTTATTATCACACACATTCAGGTTTGCACTGAACAATTAGTAATAAATTGATCATAACTTGCCCAATAAAACTCCAATTGATGAGAGATTTAAATATTTAGAAACTAGACAGAAATTACTTTAATTTGATATATTATATGCTTAATTTGGATAACTTTAGCGCCACTGTCAAACAATTTCTTTTATTATCACACACATTTCGGTTTCCACTAAACAGTCAATAGTAAATTGACCATAACTTTCTAAATAAAAATCCAATTTATGAGAGGTTTGAATCTTTAGAAACTAGATAGATAGGACTTTAATTTGATATATTATATGATTAATGTGGATAACTATAACCCTACTGTTGAACCATTCATTTTTTCATTGCACACATTTCGATTTCCACTGAACAATCAGTAATAAATTGACCATAACCTCAATAAAAATCCAATTGATGAGAGGTTTGAATCTTTAGAAACTAGATATACAAGGCTTTAATTTGATAAATTATAGATAAATTAGGATAACTATAGGCTTGCTGCCGAACTATTCATTTTATCATCACACACATAAAACAAATTCAATTTTAGTGATGACAAAGGAAAACAAATATTGATATGTAGTTTTAATTGTATTTGTTCTATCTTGTTTTGTTTATTTTTGGATTGATTTTGTTGTTTTATTTGTGGGGTTTATGAGTTTTACCATTATCGTCTTTCTTTATGATGCTATCATCAAATGCTTTTTTTGCTATAGGTGGTGGTCAATTCTAATTACAACAAATAGATTTGTATCACATGACATTTATCTTCGTAGCTTTTTCAATGCTTCAATTAAGTTGCCTTTAAATTATACTATTGGAGTTGTTGTTGCTTTCTATGTGAGTTTTCTTCTCAACATTCTTAATTTTTTTTAATTTCTAAAATAATAATAATAAAAAAAAATTCATTTTTCTCTTCTCAACAATCAAAATCAGTTTTTTCCTTTGGCTCTACAAGTCTCTTGTTTAAAAGTTCACATTTTTCAACAATGTTTCTCTTTCTCTGATTGATTTATAGACTTATCAATAATACCTAGTGGGTTATCCTACAATTTTTTTTGCTTTTCTTGACAAAGTTGTAAACTTTGGTTGCAGATTTCAAATGGTGACATATTTGAGAAAAACCATGATGATATAGACTTTGACTTCAATTTGTGAACATTTTATTTATTGATTTTTTAATTATCAATTCAATATAAAATGAACTTCAATATAGAAAATATATATTTAAAACATAAAAAAGCCAATAATAATGTAAAAAAAATATAATAAACATACCCGCGCAACGCAACTTGAAAATGAATATAAGTTACAGAAATTACGGAAGGTCAATATAAATTTTAAGTTTAAATAGTTGATCTTGATAATATTCGGGTGATCTTAAATATCATACACGATTCACTACAAAATAGTGGCATCGAATATCAAAGACATGTCTGCAAAAATAATATCAATTGTACAAGGTGATGATCTGAAAATATAATTAGACCATATAATATCCAGGTGATTATCTCAAGTTGGATGAATGATTTAATAACATTTACCTATAATTCATATAAATAATTATACTGGTTATAATTTTTATCTTAATACAACTTTGTATATATTTTAAATTTATATTTACTTTAAAATTGGTATAATTTAACAATTATTATGTCTTAATCTAATTAGTTTATTTTGTTAGAATAAATTTATTTACAATTTATTTCAAAAACATTAAATAAACATACCCGTGCAACGCATGGTCCCCATGTCTAGTTAAGTGATATATTAAAATATGATTGGATAAATTTAGGATGAGAGATAGGAAGTATAAGAAATTGTGATGTTTTTCACTTAATAAACAAATCTTATAATAAAGTGTAAACGACTTTTTCCCACTTAAGGTTTGCCTTAATGACCCTATCACGTATTCACACCCAAAAAGTTTTAAAATACCACTTTTCCACCCAAAACTTATATTTAATTAATACACAAAATACACTTCACTTTCTCAGATGACGTTCATTGAGTTACTAGGAGTTAGGGTAAGAGGGGTATTGTAGAGTGGAGATCGGTGGATCGAATGGTGGTAACCACTTGAATAGTCATTGTCAGAATCAATTGGAAATCAGTTAATAGCAAGAAACCCTAGCTTTGTGGTGACTGACAATAGGCGAGAAATCAGGTGTTGGAGTGAGAGGGGTTTTGTAGAGAGGGGACCAAATGTTCAAATGGTGGCGACATAAATATTTCGCCGTCGAAATCGACTTTCGGTAGTAACGAAATATTAACTTTGAGTGGGAAAGTGGTATTTTGAAACTTTTTGGTGGAAAAGTCGTTAAGGAAAACCTTGAGTGGGAAAAAGTCGTTTACTCGATAATAAATACAATCTAAAATGTCTTACTATCTAATTAACTCAAAAGTAAAAAAGATTACATATTCATGGGTTAAGTGTGAAGGTCATTAATATATAATAATATTTAAAGATGTTCATTCACATGACATCACTGTTAGTGTATGCCCTAGGAACCAATCGTGTCGTCGGTTCCAAGGTATTATATTTTGTATATATATGTTAATGTATATATTTTGTATATACATTTTTATCTTATCAATAGAAGAAAGTATTCTTATTTCACATGTGGTTTATTGCTTAATTTATGTATATGTATTACATGTGAAATATCTGGATGATACAAATCTTTAGAAGATCAAAATCATCAAAGTATTCCCTACATAAGTAATATTAATTGGGCAATAATATTACATAGCAGGCATGATGATTGCCTCCGTAGAATATCATGTGATGATATTAGTGTGGGTGATTATAAAAGTTATATCACCAAGGCATTAGCATGGATAAGCGGTTAGCGAACTGTTTATCGAATATAGCCATTTATGATGAATCACATGGACATTTAAAATGTAGTCAATGATTCATACTAGTGTATTATTAATCCTTAGACCTAAGATATCATGGTTGGATTTTGCATAAACGCATATGGTTCATATGGTGTATAAACATGAGGCTAATCATGTCATGTGTTAATAAGTCAATTTGGCCATGTGTTGTTTACGTGTGAGGACAAGTGATAGTCAAGATAAGATTCGTTGACTTGGTATAGATTGATATCAAGGTCTTAGACTAATGTCAAGTGATAGTCAAGATAAGATTCGTTAACCAGGGTATATAAAATGTTACCTGAAAGGTTATTTCATGGTAACACGTTCCATATGTATTGATTGCCAATTTGATATAAAATTAAGATAAAGATTTTGACATACCATGAATCCATTATTAATTGGGATTAGACAACGGAAGGATTTGATTATACAACGCGTATGATTATAAAAGGGTTCGTTGGAGTATATCTTCATTGTGACTTAGGGGTTATGGAGCATTGCTAGATGCCTACTATAATCGATCGGAGTTTTGTTCGTAAAGAGTTATGACAAAATATATCAGAATAGACTATGATATTGGGTCCACGGCTAGACCACAGTGAACCTAAGAGGTCACATATAAAAATTAAGGAGAATGGAGAAATAGTCAAAGAGAGTTGATTATTTAAGGTTGGCTAGCACCTACCAATGGTAATAAAGTTATTCATATTATTATCATTGAATTAGATTCAATGGAGGGTTATATTAGTTATTATGAATAATTTAAGAGTTAAATTGCTAATTGGAATTAAATGGAATTCCAATTCATAATTAATCATTTTCTTTTTATTAAATTGAATTTCACAAGGGGTTGTAATTGTAAACATATGAATAATTTAAGGGTTAAATTGTTAATTGTGATTAAATGTTAATCCAATGTTATTATTTAAAGAAGTTTAATAACTTCATAATAATTATGGAATTATTTACAACTCCAAAACAATTATGCAATTGTTTAAGGAAATCCAAAACAATTATTGAATTGTTTACAAGCCTACATATATAAAGAAAATGATATACCAATTTTAAAAGATAGATCAAAAAATTTCTAAGAACCCTAAATGTCTCTGTTGGCCTAATTCTTCTTTTACCTTAGTGTAGGTACTCTTTTGTTTAATTTCTCTTGAAATTAAAAGTCTCCAAGGTTGCTAAGGACTTAAGGTAACAAGTTATACCTTACTTATTTTTAATTTGATTAATTTTTTTTTGCAAAATATGAATATACATGTTATAATATCACATGCATTATTCTCTATGCATTCCATCTTTCAATCATACCTAACTGAAACAACAGTGTTTGTGTAATATGTTGCTTGATTATTTCCCCAAGCAAGGTGGGAATTTATACAATGTACAAGTTACGTGAATTAGGAAAGAATTGATCCTAAATAATCAAGGATATACACACAATATTAGTCTATCATATTTACACAAATCAATCTAGGAAATACTATCTCTATTTTCCTAATATATCTTAACAGTCAATCTAGGAAATAATATCTCTATTTTCCTAATATACCTTAACATTCCCCCTCAACCTGGAGCATATATGTCATATGTTCCAAGCTTGTTACAAATGTATCCGATTCGGGAACCTCTGAGAGACTTAGTAAGAACATTTGCTAGCTGGTCATTTGAGTTGACAAAACTGGTGACAATGCATCCGGATTCAATCTTCTGTCGGATAAAATGACAGTCAATCTCTATATGCTTTGTTCTTTCGTGAAAGACTGGATTTTTAGGCAATATGCAAAACATCTTGATTGTCGCGTATTAGTTTCATCTGCTTCACTTCACTACACCCAATTCTTGAAGAAGTTGTTTCAACCAGATGAGCTCACAAGTCGCGAGAGCCATAGCCCAATATTCTGCCGCTACACTTGATCTAGCTACTACATCTTGCTTCTTACACTTCCAAGATATTAGATTACCTCCAATCATGATACAGTATCCAGAAATAGATTGTCTATCTGATGCAGACCCTGCCCAATCAGCATCAGAATACCCAACAATTTGAGAATGACCTCTATTTTCATATAGCAAGCCTTGTTCTAGAGCTTCTTTAATATACTTGAGAATGCAAATTGCTGCGTCCCAATGACCACTACATGGGGCTTGGAGAAATTGGCTAACCATACTAACTGCTGTTAAGAATCTGACAGCAATACAATCAATTGCTCCGATACCATGTTGGGAATCTGAATCTGCTATGATACCATGTTAAGAATCAGACAGCAATACAACCAATTCAAGGTAATGAGAGAGGAATAAGAGAAAGAGAGAATGTGAGGATACAAGGGGTTTTGATGTAAGGGTACTACAGGTATCGAGCAAATACCAAAGGGTATTAAACACCATAGGAACGGGATGTCCGCCTAAGTAAAGGTACTAGGTTGATGGTGTGATAAAACACTTGTATCGTATTCATATTATTATAGTGAAAACCCTCTCATCCGTGGATGTAGGCGAGTTATGCCGAACCACGTAAAATATCGTGTGCCTTTTTTATGTTGTTATTGCTGTTCTTTATTTTTATGTTTTACTCCTCCGATTTTTAACATGGTATCAGAGCAGATTCAGATTCCCAACATGGTATCGGAGCAATTGATTGTATTGCTGTCAGATTCTTAACATGGTATCAGAGCTTATTTTCTTAAGGGACCTACGGGAGAAAGGGCCTAAGGAAGATGAAGTAAAAATTGCAGGGTGATGGTCTGCAAGAATGTCAGCGATAGTATTGACGAGAGAAAGCCATTGAGACTCCAACCCAAGGTGGAGATGAAACTTGGGGCCTATCAGAGCCAAACTATCCTCGACCCGACTCATGTCAAGCGCCTTAAGGGAGAGGTAGGCAGGATGACCATGAAGACAAAGGTCTCATCGAAATTGGGTGGGAGAGAGTGTCACACCGAGCGCCCGAAGCAGAAGAAGGTAGGCAGGTTGGTCAACTCCAAAATTCTCACATCGGGCAGGAAGGAGGCTCTTGAGAAGATGAACCTAAGGAAGAAAATTAGAGACTCTAACACAAGTTGGAGAGAAGAAGCTAGCACTAAGTGGTAGGCTAAAGAAGAAGAAGCCAACACTAAGGGTGGAAGGCTAAAGTTGTAGAAGAAATGAGGAGTAAGAGAATGACGAACAAGCTGAGAAGATGAATTACCAAAAAGGTTCAAGGAGGAGTGTTGGAATATGAACACTTTTTGGTAATTGATGAAGAAAAGGCAAGTAAGAAGAAAAGGCAAGTAAGAAGAAAAGGCAAACAAGAAGAAAAGGAATTTAAGTTTTGGGCAAATTTCTAGTTTAGGAATTTGTAATTGAAGAATATTTGTTTTCCTTTTACTTTGAGTTTTACTAGGGAAAAAGAATTGGTTTAGGACTTTATTTAAGTTAAAATAGGAGAATGATTTAATTTAGAAGAGTTCTATTAGGAATAGGAATATGAATCCTAGTAGAATAAGAATGTTTTATTTTACCTATAAATAAGGGAGTTAGAACCAATTCAAGGTAATGAGAGAGGAATAAGAGAAAGAGAGAATGTGAGGATACAAGGGGTTTTGATGTAAGGGTACTACAGGTATCGAGTAAATACCAAAGGGTATTAAACACCATAGGAACGGGATGTCCGCCTAAGTAAAGTACTAGGTTGATAGTGTGATAAAACACTTGTATCGTATTCATATTATTATAGTGAAAACCCTTTCATCCGTGGATGTAGGCGAGTTATGCCGAACCACGTAAAATATCGTGTGCCTTTCTTATGTTGTTATTGCTGTTCTTTATTTTTATGTTTTACTCCTCCGATTTTTAACAACTGCAAAGGAGATATCTGGTCTGGTGATCGTGAGATAATTCAGCTTACCAACCCATTTTCGATACCTTCCAAGGTCTTTTAATGGCTTCCCCTGTCCAGGAACAAGTTTGACATTGGGATCCATAGGAGAATCTACAGGCTTACAGTCTAACATACCTGTCTACTTAAGAATGTCCAAGGCATACTTCCTTTGTGATATAGCAATACCGGCCTTAGACTATGCTACCTTAATCCCAAGAATATACTTTAGCTTTCCCAAGTCCTTGGTTTGAAAGTGGCTAAACAAATGCTGCTTCAGTTGAGAAATCCCATCTTGGTTATTACCTGTTATGACAATGTCATCAACATAGACAACCAAGTATATAAATTTACCATGATCATTGCGGTGGAAAAATACTGAATGATCAACTGTAATTCGTGACATCCCAAACTGTTGAATCATAGAACTGAACCATCCAAACCATGCTCTAGGTGACTGCTTGAGACCATATAAAGACCGGTGTAGATGACACACCAATCCTGACTCCCCCTGAGCGAAAAACCCTGGCGGTTGCTTCATATACACTTCCTCGGCAAGTTTACCATGCAAGAAGACATTTTTGATATCCAATTGATGAAGAGGCCATTGATACATGGCCGCTAAAGAGATAAGGAGGCATACCAAAGTAATCTTAGCAACATGAGAGAAGGTATCACTGTAGTCGAGCCCATAGATCTGAGTGTACCCCTTTGCAACAAGGCGAGCCTTCAGCCGATCAACTTGGCCATCAGGACCAATCTTAACAGTGTAAACCTAACGACAGTCTTACCTGGCGGTAAGGAAACCAACTCCCAAGTACTATTATGATCGAGAGCAGTCATCTCCTCAATCATGGCAGCTCTCCAACTTGGATGTGCCATTGCCTCGCTAATAGCGTTAGGTATAGGGATAGAAGACAGGTTTGAAATAAAGGCAGAATAAAATGGAGATAAACGATCATAACTAAGAAAATTATAAATAGGATGTGGGTTTCAAGAAGATCGAATACCTTTGCGAAGGGCGAGTGGAAGAGTTACCTCGTCTGTAGGAGACATGACTGGAGCAGGCGACGGAGGAACAAGAGATGGGTCATCAGGATTGACCAAGGTACCTGTATCAAGAAGGGAAGTACCGTTAGGATTAGTAGGAGGACGAGGACAATGAGAATAAACTTGGAGAAGAGGATGATCCATCGACGAGGAAGGAAGGATGGGGATAGGTAAGGTGGCAGGGATAAGAGTGCTATTGACGGTGTTTTCAGAAAAGTATGGAGATGTCTCAAAGAAAGTTACATCTGCAGAAACAAAATATTTGTTGGTGGTTGGGTCATAGCAATGGCAACCTTTCTGGAGACGAGAATATCCTAAGAAGATACACTTAACGGATTTAGGCTGTAATTTGTCTTTGCCTAGAGTGTGAGTATGAACGAAGCAAATGCAACCAAACACCCGTAAATGTATTGGGTATGGGTCTTTACCCAGAAACAGAATGGAGTGAGGACTGTTATGTTTCAAGATAGAAGAAGGCATGCGGCTAATCAAGTAACAGGCGGTGAGAACTGCATCCCCCCAAAATTGAAGAGGAACATGATGATGTATAAGTAAGGTACATGCTATTTCAATAAGATGATGATTTTTGCGTTCGGCGACCCCATTCTGCTGAAGATTATAGGCACATGAGGTCTGGTGAATAATACCCTGAGAAGACATAGACTTAGTAAAGGGAGAAGATAGATATTTCCTAGCATTATCACTATGCAAAATCTTAATAGAAACCCCAAAGTGATTACGAATCTCAGCACAAAAATTCTGAAAGATAGAAAATAACTCAGAACGAGTTTTCATTAAAAATACCCAAGTATTACGAGAAACAAAATAATAGAAACCCAAAGTTTAACAGACACGACTAGGACCCCAGATGTCTGTGTGAACAATGTCAAACATTGAGATGGCCCTATTATTGACTTGCTTGGGAAAGGAAGCTCTAGTTTGTTTTCCAAGTTGGCATGACTCACAATTAAAAGAAGATAATGTAGACAGACCAGGTACTAATTTATGAAATTTGGCAAGACTTGGATGACTAAGGCGGCTACGAAGAATGTTGGTAGATGCAATAGAAGTGAAGGCAATTGGTAGATTTGGATCGGTGAGGTGGTACAGTCCATGTGATTCATGTCCTGGTCCAATCGTCTGACCTGTGTTCCGATCCCACACCACAACAGGGTCAACAAAAAAGGTGACATAATAGTTAAGATATTTGGTTAACTTACTAATAGAAATTAGATTATATGGACATGCAGGGGTGAATAAGATTGAGTTTAAAGAAATGGAAGGAAGTGGTCGAGCTTCTCTTATCCCTTTGACCATAGTTTGTGAACCATTAGCAAGAGTAATTTTTGATAAAGTGGAGAAGAGGTAATTTGAGATAAAAGATTTTTATTACCAGAAATGTGGTTAGATGCTCCGGAATCCAAAATCCATGGGCCAGTGGAGGAGGTCTTGCTCAGATAGGTAAAGGAATTACCAGTTTGGGAGGCGCCAGATAGGGATGACTATTGCTTGATAGCTTGATATTGAAGATACTCATTGTAATCAACCCCAAACAATGTAATGGAGTTGGGTTGTTGGTCTTTAGCATCAGGTAAAGGAAGGAATCCATCTCCAGTTGCTTGAGCCACACGAGCAGTGGATTGATTAGAAGATTGACGTGGTGGCCTCCCATGCAAAGCCCAACAAGTGTTGTGGCCATTCTTTTCACAATAGGTGCAATGTGGTCTGGATCCCTTTCCTTTTCCCTTTCGAGAACCACTTTGTCCTTGCTGATTTCCTGCCTGAACAACTAATACAGATGTCTCAACCTCATTAGTATCGCCTAAGTTTAAAGAAAGATGCAGTAATCGAGCAGATACATCTTCCAAAAATGGTATGGTAGGGCTAGCTAAAATTTGATCTCGAACAGAACCAAGGTCAGATCGTAGTCCAATTAAGGCTAGGACCATAAAGAATTTGTCATGTTGTCTCTCTTGTTCAGTGGTACTATCAGATACTGGCATAAAGGAATCAAATTGATCTTTTAAAGTCTCTATCTGCCCTAAATAGCTCTCCATATCTTGATTATTTTGTTGAAGGTGGACAATATCAGAAACAACTCTATATATTCTTTGCACATCATTCGTATACAAAGTTTTGGCTTTGGTCCAGACCTTACAGCAAGTTTTACAAGAATGAAACAAATTAAGCAGTTTAGGGTCTAAAGAGTGCCAAAGGAGACTACATAACTGAGCATCAACTTTAACCCAACTAGCACTCTCAGTAGTAGAAATATCAGTGGATGTTTTACTTAAGTGATCATCATAACCCTGCCCCATAAACCATAACTCTGTTGAAGCAGCCCATGACGCATAATTACTACTACCCTGAAGCTTGATTGTAGTAATTGTTGGAGAACTAGAAATAGAAGAGAAGAATGGTTTGATATCACCTGATTTTGATGCTTCTGCCATTGTAATCAAGAGAAGTGAGAGATAAATCCAAAATGGTAGAAACACCCTCTATCAGAGTTGAATCACCAACAAGAAGGAAGAACTGGAGGAAATCGATCGCCTGAGAAGAACTAGAAGATGCCGACGAACTAGGAGAATCGAGAAATAAACTCCCCAAAAGCAAAGAGGAGCGCCTCCTTTAAAGATATGTTTCAGGGTTTCTGAAATAAATGGATTTAGAAGAAGAAGAAGAAGGCCAAGAACCAGGTTGGCTTTGATACCAAAACAACAGTGTTTGTGAAATATGTTGCTTGATTATTTCCCCAAGCAAGATGGGAATTTATACAAGGTACAAGTTACATGAATTAGGAAATAATTGATCCTAAATAATCAAGGATATACACACAATATTAGTCTACCATAGTTACACAAATCAATCTAGGAAATACTATCTCTATTTTCCTAATATATCTTAACAGTAAATCTAGGAAATAATATCTCTATTTTCCTAATATATCTTAACATTATTTTAAAACCCAGCCCGGCCCTGCCAGTTGAACCGGTTTAACCGAGACCCGGTAGCTTCACTGAACCGGGTTTAACTTTTCCGATTCACCTCCAAACCCTAAGATTTCGGAGGATGATCGACGAACAATCTATGGTCAGAAGCTTAGGGCTTTTGAAGATTAAGGTCCGGTGAATACAATGGTGGTGGCATCATTGATTTCCGGTGAGTAAATCGATCGGAAATCGAAGAAACTTGACAACGGCAACAATGAGATTTTTCCGACGATTGGCTAGGCTAACGGGGGTGGGGTGAGGTGGGTTTTGGTCGGGAGGAACAGGGGAGTAATTCCTGGGTGATAGGGAGGTTTGTGGGCACCAGCGTGGATGAGATCTGGCCTGGAATACCCACGCCGGCGTTGGTGAAATCTGGCTGAAATCGAACCTATTTCGACCAGATCTTGGGTAGATTTTAATGGAAATGGGCTCAGGGAAAGATTTGGGTTGCATCTGGGGTGTCACTGCTGCTGATCAGTCGCCGGTCGATTTTCAGTTGGGGTGTGTTTGAGAAAGTTCAAACATGTAGGGACTTGAAGGTGATTTTTAGGGGTGTATTTGTTGAGTTTTAAAATTTTTTGTCAACCGATCAACCCGGGACCCGAAAACTTTGCTGGGTTTCAACCCGGGTTGGGTTTTAAAACATTGTATCTTAACACTGACTATACATATTAAGCAATTTTTTTTTTTTTTGATTTTATTTCAATTAATTAACTATTCTTATGTTGTTTTCATGTGCAATCTTGTTGTATTTAAATAGCGTTAGGGGTTTTGGTGAGTGATGATTGGGGAAGAGAATGGTGATGGTGTGGGGTTGCAACGATGTTGGAATCAGAAACATAATATAAATTTGGGTAATAAAGTAGTATTTTAAGAGTTCGTGGGTATGAAAGTGTCATTAAACCATTATTTGGGTGGGAAAAAAGTCAATTACTCTTTATCATAGTTAGGAAAAAAATCCTCAAGCGCGGCTAGATTAAGAAATTTTTTAATTAATTTTTTTATTTGGTAATCTTTTCAAAAGGAAGGTTAATATATAGGTTACTCATTTACATATTCATGGGTTAAGTGTGAATGTAGTTGATATATAAAG